TTTATAAATGTGAAAAAAAAAAAAAAAAAAAAAACACCCGTCCATCAAGTTAGTTCATTTAACAATCACTGTGTTCTCCGGTGACCAAGTCGCGTCTGTTGAAGACACTTTTCATCACGTGTACCTTTGTAGCGGTTGCCGCCATGACGCAGTTTGAAATGCATTTCATCGTACATGTGTGAATGCACAACACGCACGGGCGTCACCAACCGCATGTTCTCAAACAGCCTCGAGGCTTAATTAAATATTCCATTAAATGTAGTCCTTGGTTACTTTGCCACCGCAATTATCTGGTCGTCAATTATGGCACCTTAATAATCACTCTCTGCCGTTGCATGCATTCCATTTAAATTTCACATTTAGGAACACCGTGTGTGTGGCATGGCATTGGGAGCAGTGGTGTCCAAACTACTGCACGGGGGCCATTTGCGGCTCCATCCATCCATTTTTCAGCGTCCCGCGACATGACCAAAAATAAGACGAACAATCACATTTGACACGGGCCGCAAAGTTGGTTCAAAAAGGTGAACGTGGGCAGAGCGAGAAGGGAGGTTGGACTGTCCAACTTTCCGCTATATTGGAACCAGTGATGATGAAAAGAACAACAATGTATCTTCAAAACTCTGCGGTGAATAAAGATAAATCCATTTTAGAGGCCAAAATAGTTTCTTCCACTTTGTGCTTTATGGCTGATTGACAAAGACATCGCATTCATGATCCTCAAGGAACTGTTTAAAAAATGGTCACCTGACTAAAATGGCGCACATTGGTTGATTTTGCAATTGTTCTGCTAGCATGACTGCTTGGAAAACTGGTGAGGTCTATTTTTAGTACAAAACGAACTGACACATTTGCGTTGCCTAACGCCGCCGAGTGGAAATGGCATAAATGTATGCAAGCGCTCATTTACCCGCCAATACCCTTGTCCGAACCGAGGTATCATTTGCTGTATCGGTTGTCAGTGACACTTTGAAGCACAATCACAGAGCAACGTATGCAATTAAGCAGATGTTTTTTATCCTCCATCCACAAATCTCTTCGTCCAAGTCAAATATCAGGTCACAGAAGTCCAATAAAAAGTTATGGTTGGAAATTAATCAGGTTCATCATTGTGCTGAGCAATTGCTTATTTCTCTCGTGACAAAAGTGGAGAGGCGGAATTTGTTTTTTGTGGATTCATCCAAGCATAGTAATCAAGAAAAAGTTATGGTTGGAAATTAATCAGGTTCCTCATTGTTGTTGAGCAATTGCTTATTTCTCTCGTGACAAAAGTGGAGAGGCGGAATTTGTTTTTTGTGGGTTCATCCAAGCATAGTAACACTCAAATATCTTCATTTGAGCGGCGGCTGTGTTGGCTGCGGCAAGTGAGCAACAAAGGAAAAGGATCACCTTCTTCTGAGTTTTTGCCCACAAGCTGTCTTCCCATCCTGTTCCTCTCTACCTGTATTCTTATCTTAATCAAAATATAAACGCAACACTTTTGGTTTTGCTCCCTTGATTCGAGCTGAACTCAAAAATCAAAGATGTTTTCTTTGTACTCAAAAGGCCCATCTCTCAATTGTCTCACACAGATCATTTATACATGATATAGTAAAAACAATAAAGGTTCTAGCATAGACCCCATGGGGACACCGGTAATTTTTGATCATTGATCTCTTATCTTGATCAAAATATAAACGCGACACTTTTGGTTTTGCTCCCTTGATTTGAGCTGAACTCAAAAATCAAAGATGTTTTCTTTGTACTCAAAAGGCCCATCTCTCAATTGTCTCACACAGATCATTTATACATGATATAGTAAAAACAATAAAGGTTCTAGCATAGACCCCATGGGGACACCGGTAATTTTTGATCATTGATGGTTAAAAAAATTCGTCTAAATCTTTTCAAGGAAATGCTTCTCTCTTGTCAAGGTGAGAATCTGCGTGCAGTTCCGGTTTTTGGACGGCCAGCGTACTCAACAGAAATGTCACCCAATGAGCAAGTTGAAGCGATGCTCTGGATTGGCGTTTCGTACCGGGCCGTGTGCTCAAGCAAATGGCGCTCCCTCCAGATACATGTGCTTACTGGTTTTCTGAACCGCAGCCCCAACCCCATACACTCAATCTGTACATTTTACAGTTTTTTGGTCATTGATGGTTAAAAAAAAATCTCTCTTGTCGAGGTGAGAATCTGCGTGCAGTCCCGGTTTTTGCACGGCCTGCGTACTCAACAGACATGTCACCCAATGAGCAAGTTCGCGATGCTCTGGATTGGCGTTTCGTACATGGCCATGTGCACAAGCAAATGGTGCTCCCTCTAGATACACGTACTTATTGGTTTTCTGAACTACACCCCCAACCCCATACACTCAATCTGTACATTTTACAGTGGCCTATTATAGTCACATCCTGCAATTGTCACATTGTCAGATCAACATGAGTGGGATAGGTTGGTCATCTCAGCAAAAGAGAATTGCCCAGTAACACAAATATTAGACAGATTTGTGAACAATCAATGATTTAAAAAAAAAAAAAAAAGAAAAATGGTGGTGTCCCCCAGGGGTCTATGCTAGAACCTCTATTGTTTTTATTATATGATCTATAAATGATCTGTGTGACGTATCGCCACAATTTAAACATATAGTATTTGCTGACAACACTGCGATACTCGGCTCGGACCAACACATGCAGCTACCTAATTGTGATGCATTTCTGTCTTCCCCCCACCCCCGTTAGGTGACTGAAACAAGGACAGGCCCTCTTGGATGCAGTAACTATGACAACCTCGACTCTGTCAGTTCCGTTTTGGTTCAGAGCCCTGAAAACAAGATTCATTTGCAAGGTTGGCCATTCATAATTGAACTCACATGATTTCTGATGGAAATGTTACACTGTCTGTTTTCTGGCAAACTCATAACTTTAGCACAATAGCGTCAGAATGAATCTAGCTTCAGTCACTCCCACCCCCACCAATCCCCTCCCCGCAATCCTTGGAGGACTTTTTTGTGCAAAGTGTAAACCAGGCGGTCATGACCGAGAAGAAAAGCAGCGGAAATGTGAAGCATTCAATCCCCCTCCCCACAATCCTTGGAGGACTTTGTGTGCAAAGTGTAAACCAGGCGGTCATGAGCGAGAAGAAAAGCAGCGGAAATGTGAAGCATTCAATAAGCATATTGCATGTTATGCTCAGAATATGTCAAGTATGACAGAACACATGCCAATATGAGTGTTTGGTCTTCAGTGCGACACATGGACCAAATTTGCTACCGTGGGTCATTATCTCGGTGACATAATGTTGTCTTGCATGACTCAGGCCTTCATGCCATACTGCCAGAATATCTGCGGGACAAGTTTGTGCAGGCGGCGCTGAGCTACATCGGATGTAATGAGGAGGGCCAATTGGTGTGCCGGAACAATGACTGCTGGTGTCAGTGCGCCGCAGACTACCCGCAGTGTAATTGCCCCCAGTTGGATTTGAGGTCCATGGAAGAGAGTTTGCTGCAAATTCGAGATTCTTGGAACATGGCCAACCAAGACTTTGAGGAGTCAGGTCAGTGTTTTCACTTCTCTGACAGCAAGGGCGGGAGGGCGGGAAATTCGGGACGGCTCCCGAATGGCCAGTCTATTCCAGACCATTCTGGCCATCTTGTTGGTTTTTTTTTGTATTGGCTCTATTAACAGATAACTTCAACGTCTTTGTTTTGAAATACTTTTACATGTTGTACTTTTCATCATGCAAAGCACTTGTGTATAAAATGTACAGTCTAAGTAAAGGAGCCTTGCCTTCGAATTGCAGAATCATCTTGCGTGTTATTTACGTGGAGCTATCACTTGGGCAGACATTTTATTACATTATTAATCAAATGTTGCCTCTTTAAGCTCGTTTGACTGACGGCCACCAAAGCAGTCATTTCTTCATCTAACTTTCAGATCAGTGAGAATAAATAAATTGTTGATGACAACCATGGAAATGAATCTGTTCATCTTAAATGGTGTTTTTATTTGTTAGTCGCAACTCAGATAGTCTGTGAGCTCCTTCCTGTGCCTTGTGCTCTATGTCAAACCTATTTTCTCTCCCAAAAGAAATAAACTCTGGAAAAGCTTTTGGCTGTTCATGAGAAAATAGAAAGAAAAAAAAAGAAAAAATACCCCAAGCCCTTATTTAGCTCTGCCGTTTTTCATTATCATATGCATCAAACAATTTCACTTCCAGTTAGCCTGGGAGCTGCCCGGGTGGCCTGCGTGAAGGGATTCTCTCATTTAGTCTGATTAAATTAGCCAAATATAGTTGGAGCAAAGCAGAGAAGGCGTGTGTGTGTGTGTGTGTGTGTGTGTGTGTGTGTGTGTGTGTGTGTGTGTGTGTGTGAGAGAGAGAGAGAGAGGGGAGAGAGGAAAAAAAAAAAGAGTGCTCAGGTTTTATTTTCCTGCTTTCCAGACGAGTTCCAGAACTTTGTACGAAGGCTTCCCACATTTTATGCTTTGAACACATCTGCCGTGGAGTATTTCTGGAAAATGGAGCCGGAGATTCATCAACGCTACAAACAGCTGCAGCTCACCACCCAGCAGCTTCTGAGCAAATCCGGGCGCATCATCAACAAGCTCTTCACCCTGGGCAAGAGGTGCCACGCCAAGCCCAAAATCGTTCTGCTGAGAGAGAGGTGAGAAACGGCGCTCTCTGTTGTTGTCAAGTATTCCTGCTGACCTTGCTCTTGACACGCGTGTGCGCGCGCCGCCGTATGAGGGGAATAAGCACAAATTCTCCAGCCTCCAGCCACACATCACACGTCCCGTTCAAGCCACGTGAAAATGGCACAGCTCATTTCTTTTTCTGTGGCAGCCTCCGTGCGCAGCACTTTTGCGACGGCCTGAACTCGGCGTTATGCTAATCCGACACACAATCTACTGGGCCTTTGATTTTTAAGGCGCCGCCGATGTTGGCGAGAGTCTCACACCTGATCATTTGGCTGCGCGTTCAGACGACCCGCTTGACTAGAAACTGTACTTGTGATCTTTTTTATTTTCACATTTCTAATTTAGGTGAGAACCCAAATAATCGTTCACTGTGATTTTTAGCAGGTACAGTCGCCTTCTCTGTGACATTTCATAACCATTTTTGGATCGATGAAACAACCCAACATCTGTTCATCATGTAGTTTGTAAAAAATGATCTGATGAAAACTCTGGGCCTCCAATTTATTAATGTTGACTTTTTGATTGTATTGTATGTCATTGTTAAACCAAAGAAACATGATTTTATAAAAGCAAGTGCTTTGAAATATGTCCCTCCACACGAATCTCTCCCATTGTTGTTGAAGTGAATTTTGCCATTCATTTCCCAATCAAGTTGTTTCTCTTGCAAAAGACAAATAAATGATTAAAAAATATACAAAATTGTTTTCTACAAACTGCAGCAATCTGTGTGACAGGAGCTGTAAGTGGAGATGAATAGTGAGGAGCTTTTCTCCTTTACTCGCCGTTCAAACCGCGTCTCCATGACAGTTTACATGTCCCGCTGACACGGTGTGCATCCGGATGGCGGAACAGCTTCCTCTCACCTGCTGTGCACAGCCGAGACTGCAAAGAGATGTGCATGACAAGCGGATGGCTTTCACGGGAAACATTCAGCACACTGACTGACAACACAATCTGATTAATTAGAATGTGTCATGTTGGTCGCTTTTGTTTTTTTTTAACACGTCTAAAGTACAATGATGTCTGTCTAGCTCGCTATCTGGCTATCTAGCTATCCGGCTTGCTGGTTCATTAGCTAGCTAGCTATCTAACTAGCTAGCTAGCTAGAGAACCAGCAAGCTATCTAACTAGCTAGCTAGCTAGCCGACAAGCTCCAGTTCCATCTCAAAATGATAATGCTGTGTCCTTTTGCGTGCTGCAAGTAAATGAACCCTTTGTTTGCAAGAGTTGTCGTGGTACTCTGTTGTTTCATACTGAGCACCAAAAAAAAAATAAATAAATAAAAACTTTTAAATGAATCATGTTTACACGTGAACAGCTTGTGTAGCCAGCTCCTGTATACTGAATTTATATGTAGTATGAATTCAGTATACATAAGTGGTCAGAGCAGTAAAACTCTGTTCATTGTTGCCATGATTCGTGTTTTTGTTGTATTTGATTTGATTTCGTGTAATGTCTTGTTTTCTCGTTAGGGTTTTGTGTCCACTTCATCAGCGCGGTCCCTCATGTGTACAAATCAGCCTCCTCACCACTTGTGTCTCGTCAAGTGGTGTTCTCTGTTGTCTTTTGAGTTGGCTTGTTTTGAGTCGCCTGCTTCGGTTTGGTCTTTGTTGGATGGTTGCATCTGTTTGTTTTTGCTCTCAGTCACAGTCCAAGAGTCTTGGCCCATGTAACTTTGATTGTGGTTTTGGACGTATTGGATTCCCCATGCTTGTTTACTTTCCTTTTTGAGGTGTTTTGATAGAAAATTCCCTTTTTGGAGCTCAAGCCTTCCTTGCCTTCATTTGGGTCCTCAACCTCACATCCGACCCTTGTAACATAACACGTGGGTCGCCGCATTATACCGGCCGTGGCCTCCAGATTTCATATGCGCACGGTGCACACTACCACCACCTCCATCGACTTGATGAGCTGCGACAAGAGCTACGATGTACAATATTGAGTATGAATTTGTCCGTTCATTTTGTCGGCGCGGTCCTGAAAACTGAAGGGCGCTCCTCTGTCTCTTTTGCAGACCCGTGACCTACTGGTTGAACTACATCCTCTCCATAATGTACTGCAGCGAAAACAACCACATGGGCGCATATTTGGAGGAGACCCGCAGTTGCTCGTGTCCCTACGAGCGCCCGCCCTGCCAGAGTGCGATTCCCTGCACGGTGGGCGAAGGCACCTCCTGCGGCTCCTGTTCCTACGAGAACCGCTCCCGCTGCGCCACGTGCAACCAGGGTTACATGCTTAGTCAGGGCGCGTGCCGCAACGAAGTTCCGGACTCCATCGACCATTACATCGGCTTCGAGACGGACCTGCAGGACTTGGAGTTACGCTATCTTCTGCAAAAACGGGACAACCGCATCAGCGTCCACGGGATCTTTGTCAGCAATGACGTCAGGCTCAATAGCTGGTTTGACCCGTCGTGGAGAAAGAGGATGCTGCTGACTCTGAAAAGCAACAAATACAAGTCGAACCACGTTCACATGCTTCTGGGGATTTCCCTTCAGATTTGCCTGACCAAAAACATCACGTTGGACCCGGTGCTGTCCGTCTACATCAATCCGTTTGGGGGAAGTCACTCGGAGAGTTGGATCATGCCCATTGACCAAAACAACTACCCCGACTGGGAGAGGACTAAATTAGAGCTTCCCCACGACTGTTATAACTGGACGTTGACTTTGGGCAACAAGTGGAAAACCTTTTTCGAGACGGTTCACTTTTACTTGCGGAGTCGGATCAGGGGCCCTGCGAGTCATGGAAACGGAACTGTCTATTACGAGCCCTTGGAGTACCTGGAGCTGGGGCAAAATCTCGGCTACATGAAAATCAACAGCGTCCAGGTGTATGGCTACAGCATGCACTTTGACCCCGATGCGATCCAGGACTTAATTTTACAGCTGGACTACCCGTACACTCAGGGATCCCAAGACTCGGCCCTGCTGCAGCTGCTGGAGGTCCGGGATCGGGTAAACCAGCTCTCCCCGCCCGGAGCGCAGCCTTTGGACCTCTTCTCTTGTTTGCTGCGGCATCGGCTCAAACTGTCCACCACGGACGTCGCCCGCATCCAGGCCGCGCTGCAGACGTTCAGCGCCAAGCAGCCCAAGTCGATGGAGTACGAAACGACCAAATTATGTAGCTAATAAGCGGGCAGGAGGCCAGGCGGCCAGATGGAACGCGGCTCTCGCAAACGCCCCTGATGACGGTTAAGAGCATTTCTGGAGCGGTTGCAAAGGATGTTTGAGGGACATTCTCAATGTCATCATGAATCTCGAGAGAGCACATTCAGCCTTCATCTACAACACGAGAATTTCACCGCTATCTGGTTTATTCTTATTATTTTTCACGGACTGGCACTTCAACATCCGTACAGGTGCCATACAATCAGACAGGTTGACAACACGGGCGCACAAAGTTCTTTTCCTCATCAAGAAAAAAAGCCTTCAAACAATGTCATGCTCTCACGTCTACTTGGGCACCAGCATATTTTATATTTTTCTTGTCATGTTTTGCAGCAACATTATTTGTTGCCGATATATCCTTGACCTTTTATTTGAACTTGTGACTTGATTGGCAGCTCACGGTTTTCAGAGTTTCAATTCAATTAAAAAAAAATTGGGGGGGGGGGGGTCTTACGCATATTTGTATGAACGGAACATATACAAGAAGGAACATGTACCCCACTAGAATTGTTCAAACTACATCATAATCACGATATGTTACATGTGTGTTTATTTTTATAATATAGTTGT